GAAGGCGGGGAGAGTCCGCTTCCACCCTGGAACTATACAGAAACTAAAGTTAGAAACGGAGTTGTAACACTACTACTTAGAGTTGCTTTAATTTAGAGTTACGTAGGCTTTAGTTAGGCTTTAATCTATTTTTAGCTCTAGTCCTGGGCTTATGCAGCACTGGTGCTTGTGATTCCCTGCTCCTTCCCTCCATCCCTCATCCTCCCCCGGATCCACCTATGCGCGTTCTTTCCCGGCGTTGCCTCAATTCACTTATAGCAGTTTGCGAGGCTTGCTCATAACGACGGCCAACAGATGTGAAAGAATGAAAGCCAGGAGCTTTCAAGGGATGCCAGTACGATTATTTTTGCCCTCGCTGCTAGGCGACTGTGTCGTCTTTTCTGATTTGCAGGGAGCTGATTGATGGTGGCAAATGGGCAGATAGGCCGGCGAGTCTTAAGCTGTGGAGGAAGTTCCAGATGACCGGAAGAACGAGTAAGACCTCTGCATCACTCTCCTCACAGTGAGTCTTTTTAGCAGCATATGCTCATGATTTGCTTTGTTGTTCTGAATATGCCACTTTTGTAGCTTTCGCAGAATGCTCCCGCACATTGATAATGCAAATCTATCAGTGGAAAAGCTTCTCTATATCGCCAAGAAATTGTCCGTGCCGTTATCCACAAAGCAGCTAAAAAAGTGAGCCATTTTGCGTACTAGTAGGGCTCGGGTTGAAGGAAGGCTAACCTGTAAGCAACCCTCAGAAGAGGGACCCATCGGCAGCCGGGTGGTTGTTGTTGGCATTTACTATTACTCGAGCTATTTCCCGATTGCCTTCGCCTGTCAGTGAAGGGAGAGGGTCTTGATTTTGACTTTTTCTGGAAAGAAATGGTTGCCAGCTGCACCGGTAGCACAAAAAAAGAGCTGTTGCCTGCTGAAAGTGCAGCATTAATTTCAGGCTTGAATTCAAAGCGAATATTTCAATATGCCTGGACTCATTTGGCTTGGTAACTGCTTATGAAAAGGAAGGTTCGCTTACTCTGTTCACTTC